GGGGGCGGGGAGGGGCTAGCGGCTCGCCAACGGCCGCCGGCGCCGGCGCTCGCCCCCGCCTCCTCGGCCGCCTCTCGCAGCTCTCCCCGGCTCTGGCTCCGCCCGCGCGGCCGGCCCCGGCCCCGCCCGCCCATGGGCTGCCGGGGGCGGGCCCCGAGCGCCAAGTTTGGATTCCCGCTCATGGCTCTGGCGGCCTCGGGGAAGAGAGGCCGGGCTGGCGCGGCGGCGGCGGCGGCCTTGCGCTCCCTGCGCCTCTGGCTGCCGTCGCTGTCCTCGCCGTCCCTCAGCAGCTGCCCTCCCCACGCGTCTGGACAGGCACTGCGGAGGAGGAGAGAGCCAAGGGCGCCTGCGCCACTTCGCCCACCGGAAGCCCCCCGCCATGAGCGGCCGGGTGGGGGAGGGGCGGGCGGGGGGCGCCTGCGCGGGCGTGCTCGGCTCACGTGTCAGCAAGCCCCCAAACACGTGCGGCGGGGGGAGTGCGCGCCTGCGGCGTGGCGCCACCTCGCGCAGCGTCCTCAGTGGGAGGGGCCCCCTCCCCGTACGCCCCACACTCACCGGGGCACGCCCCCAGCCTGCACGCGAGCGGTACGTACCTCGAGGCAGCTGCGGCCCCAGCAGGACCGCAGGCACCCTCCTCCAGGGAGGGGCCCTCCTCCCGAGCTTCGCCCGCACCCGGTCTAGAGCCGGGGGCCTCGAACTGCGGCGGAGCTCCCTCTGGGCCCCGGCGAGGCCAGCGGGTTCCAGAGCGCCCGTGCTGCTGCCGGCCCCCAGAGTCGCCCTGAAGATCGGTGAGGGTGCCCAGTCTGTGCCAGGCATCCATCATCTCCTCCATCTCCTCTCCCCGGGTCTGAGGGCCACCGCCTCCGGCCGACCCTCGTAGGGGCTGCTTGGCTGCCATCTCCTCCCTTGGGACACCGCTGCACGACTGAGGGTGTGGCATGCACGAGTGAGCTGGGCTGGCAGTGCCCGGTGAGGGCAGCCAACGTCAGCGCTTGAGGTCATGGTAGGGTCAGCTCCTCTACAGGACCCCCACCCGCCCGTCCTAAAATTGGCGCCAACCACGGTTAACTCTCCCCAGGATAGGCCCCCACCCCCCAGCATGGGCCCTCCCCAGCATCCCTGACAAGACGTCATCCCCAGTGCTCCCGAGTTGAAAACCCTGGGGGCGGGGGAGCCCGGTTCACTCCTTACTGTTCAGTTCGCTTCAATCCGATTCCACTGAATTCAGTTCAGTCTGTCTCTTTTGGTTCGGGTCAGTTCAGTCCATTTCAGTCCCCTGCCACACAGTTCACATAGTCATTCAGGTCAGTAAAATCCTGGCGCTTCAGTTCTGTCACTTAGCTGGTGCAATAAAGGGCTGGGTTTGGAGAGAGGACCTGGCCACTCATCCCAGTATCTCTGGGCTTCGGGGCCTCTTTGATAAAATGAGACTTAGACTCCATCCCAGTCCTTTCCAACTCCAAGTGGATGACCCTAGAACTTCAGGCGTTTTGTCTGATTTCAATTCAGGTGGGTCCATAACGGTTCCAAATTCCTATTCCTAAAGCACAAGTCTGACCGTGTTACTCCTGCTTGAGGTACCCCAAATGCACACTTCTCCAAATGACATTTGAAGTCTTTCAGGATCTGGGTCCAGGAGCTCCCTTTCATGTGTTCTATGTGATAGCCAGACTGACCTCTTTGCTCCCCCCTACCGGAAAGGTTCTACCTCTCGGAACCCCCAGCTCCCTTCAAAGATCAGCTCATATCCCACCTCCTGAAAGGAACTTTTCTTGATTTCGCCTTCCCCATTTCTGAACGGGCCCCCACCACCAGCAAATTAGCTTAAACTCATTTGCTACATATTTTGTATTTACTTAACCACGAACGTGTTGAATCCTATCGGTACGATGTCGTGTTTGTATTTGTGTACTCAGTGCCAGGCACATAGTAGATACTTAATAAATTCTTGTTAAATTGATTGAATTTCCTTTAATTCAACTGAGTTCAGTTGAATTCAGTTCATTTCAATTCAATGAACAGCATGGAGGCAAGGGATTGTTGGTTTTGTTCAGTCATTTTTCAGTCACGTCTGACTCTCCGTGACCCCATTTGGAGTTTTCTTGGCAAAGATACTAGAATGGTTTGCCATGTCCTTCTGCAGCTCATTTTACAGATGAAGAAACTGAGGCAAATCGGGTGAAGTGACTTGCCCAGGGTCATACAACTAGAAGTGTCTGAGGCTGGATTTGAACTCAAGTCTTCCTGACTCCAGGCCTTTGAATTCTACTTCTAACACTTCTATAACCTGTGTGACCATGGGAAGGTCACAAAACTGTCTGAGCCTCTGTTTCATCTGTAAAGTGTGGGTCATAATATCTGGGGTAACTAACTCCTCATCATGGTGGGATATATATCCCACATATCCCATATATACATACATATATATGTGCGCATATCCCCTTATATCCCATACCATTGGGAAGAGCTTCCAAATCAATGCGATTACAGATCCCCTTGACTTGACATATGGCTATCTGCTATTATTATTTTTATGAACTTTTAAGTTAATTCAATGTTATCCATGGTTGCAGCAGCCCTTTGTAAGCCAAAGGTGCTCAGCATTTTCCCAGTCATTTTCTTGCCACATCTAGGCAGCAGAGAGAAGGTAAAATACAGGGAGCCAGAAGGTGAAAAGCCTGGGACTCACTGTCAAAGCTGTTGCTTGTGCTACAAAGATGGAATAAGCAAAGGCAATGAGAACTTCAGGGAAACATGAGAAGACATATATGCACTGATGCAGAATGAAGGAAATAGAACTAGAAAAACCAGTATGCATAGTGATTCTCAAAATAGAGATTGAAAGAACAATGAAGTGGAACTGAGCCCCCCAAAAAGAGAGGAGAAATGGACTTTCCTTCTTTCATTGGAGAGGTAGGGGACCACGAGTGCAGAGTGCATGACATCACTCATGGGCCATATTTGATTTTGTTTGACTGAATTGTTCTTTTTGTTTTTGTGGAATTGTGGGAGTTTCACCTAGAATTCTTATCGACCCCGTGCGAGAGTTTTCTGTGTGCCCTTGTTTTATCATTATTACAAGCAAAGGCTTCCTGGGGAGGGAATGAGGCAAGGAAGAAAGTATCTGGAGGTGATAATGATGTAAAAGAAAACAAAGCCGAACAATAACGAGGGGGACAAAAACCAAATCATTAAAAACAATTTTAAAATTCTATTAAAGTGAATTCTAGTAATAAGACGACGTGTCAAACTGTATGGGGCAGAGCTAAACCAGTTGTGAGAGCAAACTTTGTATTCCTGAAATACTCATACCAATGAAAGGGAGAAAAGGAGGACTGATGAACATAGCACGAAGTTTTGTCAAAGAGGCAAATTAACACAAAAACAAGCACAAAAGAGATTTTTAAAATTAAAGCAGAGATAATGTTTTTAAAAATTAAACTAATAGAACTGTTTTCTGAAAGACTTAAGCATTGGTCAGCGTCAGGCTAATTTGATCCTTTTTAAAAGAGCAAAATCAAAACTGAAAAGGGGAATTCTTAACAAGTGAAAAGAAGTAAAGGAACCTATTGGAAAGAAACTGCACTAAATTGTATGGCAACAAAACTAAAAACCTAAACGAAATGGGTGAATGGCTATAGAAATAAAAATGTGGAAATTAACAAAATAACACGTATAAAAATAATAGTAGCTCCCACTGAGAGAGCATTTTCAAGCTTGGAAAAAACTTTCCCTGCACTAGCTCATTTAAACCTCACAACAGGTATTCTACTGCCCTTTTACAGATGAGGAAACTGAAACTCACAGAGGTTGAGACTGGCCCAGGGTGCCTTCTGACTTCAACCTGATCTCAGAAAAAAAAAAGGGACAAGTAGGGAAGGAGGAGTCGAAGGAGGGAATAACTAACGTTTTGTGTGCAGACAGATTTGCAAATGAATTGTATTGAGCATTTAAAGAACAGATACCCATTATGTGGCTTAAGGATTTTCAAACCTGGAGCAGGAAGTCCTTTTCTGAGACCTGATGTGGCCCTGATTCCCAAAGAATGATGAAGCAGAGAAAGGGCCCTGCGGAACAACATCACCTATACTGTCGATGCCAAACTATTCAATAAAATACTGGCAGAGAGATTTTCATAACATGTGCAACACATTTTTTCATTACAACGAAGTCGAATTTATGCTCGGAACACAAAGGTGGTCTGTCTTCAGGAAAACAGCTACCAGAATAAATCACATTATTAACAAAACAACCACAACTTCAACAGATACAGAAAAAGCCTCCTAAAATACAGCTTTTTTATGTTAAAAACAAGATAATGTGTAGGAATGAAAAATGCCATTTCTGTAATAGGGTTACTGCCATACCAGGATGGAGAAATCATAGTCATAATCATAATCATAATCACGAAGGCCACCAGCAACAGCGAGCATTTCTGCAGTGGTGGAGCAGATAGCATGGGTCTCATTATCTCCATTTTATACTGGAGGCCACCGTGTCTGGGCCAAGTTAACGTTTCTAACTGCCCACCTATCACGCCACCCCTTCTCCCTTCTCCCAGGCGAGCGCTGCTACTGTAATCTGCTCACACCAATCAATGTCAACTGACTTAGAGTCTGGGGCAGCAGAGCCAAGGGTACAGGCGACAAGATTGCTCCATCTTCCGAAAACTCTCTTTGATCGCCTTGTTCCCCTTCCCTGAAAGCTTTGTTAACTTTGGCTTACAGTAAAAACTCCCAGAATCCAAGTCGGGCTTTTAAGGTTCTCCATGCTCTGATCTGAAAGTACCTTTCAGCCTTATCTCCTGGGACATTAATGGTCACATACTATTCTAACTGGTCCCAATTACTTACTGCTGGCTGAGCTCTCTTGGGGCCTTCCTCCCCTCACTGCTGCTAGAGCTCCTTCAGAGAACCCTCTCACTGGAGGAGGGCAGAAGACAACAGCAGAGACAGGGGAGGCGGTGCTTTGCTAGACTTGGAAGATTTGGAGAGTACCCAAGGATGGGGATGGGGTGGGGAGCCTTAGTGGACCTACAGCTAGGAACAGCAGAGAACAGCAGTGCGAGGGGGCAGAGGTCACTTGTGCTTAGAGAACAGGGCATTAAGGAAGAAGCCCGGAGGCATCTAGTGCAACCTGTACCTCATCTGGGAAACCTCTCAGCCAGCCTCTGCTCGGAGACCTCCAGAAGCACTGTTCTCGACTGTGAAAGCAGTCATTCCTTCCCAGTGACCAGAAAGGGCCTGTCTTGAGGGGGGGGGGGGGGGGTTGGAAGGAGAATGCCTCTTGTAGCAAAGTTTGCCATTCTCTAGCTGTGGGATCCTGAGCTGTGGGACCACTCTGACCTCCCTAAGCCTGTTTCTTCCCTTCTAAAATAGGAGAGCAATACTTGAGCTACCTACCTGGCTCACAAGGTTGTTATACCATTGGCTTTGTTCCTTTTCCTGTGAAAGCTTCCTTTCCAATATTGATGGCCTCTGTATTACAGAGGCCTGGCCCACCCATACACCCTCCCACCCCAAACCCTCCCCTGGAGAGTGGGAAGCAAAGGGCCTGTTTATATTGTCTTCGGGAGCTTGGTTAGAGTACTAACTCTCACTCTGAGAGAGCTTTAAGGTTCACAACAAACCTGAGAGAGGAGGCAGGGAGCGTTCATGAAAGGCCTGTTTTGTGCCAGACACTGTGCTGAGTGTTTTACAGATATTATTTCATTTGATCCTCACAAGGACCCTGAGAGGTAGGTGCTATGATGATCCCCATTTTACAGTTGAGGAAACTGAGGCAAACAAATGAAATGACTTGCCCAGGGTCACATACCTAGTAAGTGTCTGAGACTGGATTTGAACTCTGGTCTTCCTGACTCCAGGTCCAGTTCCCATAACCCCATCATATTCACTGTGGCAACATCTGGCTGTGAGGTAGGGGATGCATGGATAATCATTCCCATTTTCTTTTCTTTTTCATCACTCTCATTTTCTAGACAAGGAAACTAAGGCTGAGCCTAACTCACTTGGGGTCACTTAGCTAGAAAATGACTGATCTGGGAATCGACCTCAGGATAATAGGGGTGTGGTACAATGGAAAGGGCATGGACTACAGAGCCAGAGGACCTAGACTTCAAATTCTACCTCAGCTAATGATTCTTTATATAACTTTGGCCTTGTGAACTTACCCCCTTTGTCTTAGCTTCCTTTTCTGTAAAATGAAGGGCTGGGACCAGCCGGTCTTTCAGTTCCTGTCCCGTACCGCTCTTGATCTATGACCCTCCCTCCCCCAACATGAGACGCAACAAAAGATCCGCCATTGGGACTTGTCCAAGCCATGGCAACATGGTTTTCAGAATATACTGTTACAAGCTTGCAATCTCCGGGACACAAGAGGATGGCATAGACATACTGTTCCTGATTACAAGAAAAAGAGCAACTGTGACCACAGGAAGAGATGACAACTGTGGATTGTGTCCTAATTATTGCCCTGAGCACCAGAAAAGGCCAAGATATGGGGCACACCCCCTTGTGGGCATCCAAAAGAGAGGGTATATAAAGACACCATTGAGGAGGTTGAGTTGAGTTCAGAGGAGGCCATGTTAGCATAAGCAGTGGCAGAGAGAACCCAGTGGGAGCTCGGAACTTCGTTGAAGGCTGGAGTATCCATGACCTGACCGGATCAGCACACAGATCAACTCCTTGGGCAGGGAGTTTGGCTCAGGTCAGTATTTGGAAAGGTTCATAGCAAAGCAACTCTGGTCACTTGGGGCTTGCTATATGAATCCAGGGTCTAGGTGGGAGGATCTTAGGAAGTGATGGGAAGTGATTGTCTATAATATCCCCAAGAAGAAATCCAATCAGGAAATGGAAAGGCCTTGGTGAGGTGCCATGGAGTAAAGAGGTGTTGGAGAAGGTCTATCACTAAATACCTTCTGAAGCAAAGCTTACCTAGTGGCTGCATGTTCCCTTGAGGAGCCTTCGACTTCCCATCTTTCCTGGGAGGCTCAGATCAGTCTAACAGTGTGGGTTTGGAAATACGGAATTGGTACCAGCTTTCAACTGAGAGATTCTCCTCAAAGTTCTGAGTGGGAGTCCAATCTAAGAGAAGTGTGGTACCTACCCCACCAGAAGTAACCCTATCCTTCATATATTGAGAGCTAGAAGGGACCTCAAAAGTCATCTAACCCAACCACCTCAGGTGGGGAGACTGAGGTCAAAGAGGTTGAATGACCTACCTAAGGTCTCACAAAGAGTAGGTGGCAGAGCAGCCCACATTAGTGAGGCTTAAACGATAGAGCATAGCAACTAAGTGGTGGGATCTCTGGTCTAATCTATGGCCAAGTCTTTCACTTTCTGGGAACTATTTCTGTGACACCTGGAGCCCACTGAGCACGTACAGAAGCCAAGGAAAGCACCTTCATGAGAGTTGAGAGTTGATTTTGGGTTTTTTTGTTTGTTTCTTGTTTGTTTTTTGGTGAGGCAATCGGAGTTAAGTGACTTGCCCAAGGTCACACAGCTAATGAGTGTCAAGTGTCTGAGGCCAGATTTGAACTCGGGTCCTCCTGACTCCAAGGCTGGAGCTCTATTCACTGCGCCACCTAGCTGCCCCGTAGAGTTGATTTTGAAGGTGAAACCTTTATAGAGAACCACAAAGGAGCAGTATGATTTTCTTGAATTTTGGCCCATTGTCCTCCAACCTAACTCCACCCTCCAGGATGGCTCAATTGGGACAATTGTCCCATTTTACCAATGACGAAACTGAGTCAGAGAGGAATTGAGTAACCCAAGGTCACACAGCTAGTTAGTGGTAGAACTGAGACAAGAGCTGAGGTCTCTCAACACCTCGTCCTTCCTGTACCATGCTGTCTCTTTTCTTGGAGTGGTCAGGAAATCTGTTCTTGGAAGAAGGCATGTCCTTAACAAACCACCAAGGACCCTTTTCTCCCATCACTGAAGGAGCAACTTAGAGTTGACTCCAAACGTGACCCCAAACCAAGATGGTTCAAGAGATGTTTTGGTTGAGAATGCCTAGGGACGGATAGAGTGGTGATGGTAGGGGCCATGTGGAAAGAGGGTGTTTAATTGCTGAGACATTCCAAGGGATTGTTCATGGGTAGATTGTTCATGGCCTGGGGGAGGGACATAGCCTTAAAGACCAGGTGAAGTCCTTGATGTGTGTGTGGGGGGGGGGGGTCTTTCTCATTTGACACATGCTCATTCTCTCTCCCTCCCTGTCTCATCAGGAAATAGATGCCACTTCCCCTCTGAAACTGGTCACCGCTACTGACTCAGGAACATCTTCATTCTGCTCCTCCAATAGGAGGCAGACAAAACAGAACTGACTCATAGCTTCGCCAGACTTGGACTGGAGGAAAAGGAGGTCACATCTTCAGTCAGAGTGAAGTGTTCACTCTAGCTACTGAACTTACCTGCCGCCTCACCAAAATCTGGGGCTTTAGGGGACCCTCCTGTTCCTGTGAAGAAGCATGAGCAGTACATCCATTTTCCTGCCTGCCCCTCAGCCGGACGGCTCAGGCTTCTGCGCAGATCAGGAAAGAAGGTTTCCAGATGGAGCCAACCAGGTCCAAACCCTGGCATTTGCACCTGTGGCCCGCAAAAGCCAGCCTCTGCCTTGGCACTCTCATCCTCTCTCCAGGTGGGCAGGGCACGGGCAAGGGTGGAACTGGGAGGAAAGAGGGGGTCAAGCAGTATTGGAGAATTGAAGGGAGGGGGTCTGAGAGCAACTGTGGCCCAGGGCAGCGATTCTCTGTCATCTGGCAAGCTCGAGTTAGCTCTTGCTCCATGCTGGTATATATGGGGGTGGGGAAGGGGACACTCGCCACTGGGATACAGCCATGCCCACTTTCCACTCTTTACCTCGTTCTATTCTCCCCAAACTCAGTGCACCTGCTTGACCTCTTGGGGGTGCTCACATTTACCCTTGGCTCCCACTCTCTGCTCTCAAATCCTGCTGGGCACTGCCCCTCACTCAGTAGTCTTCTGGTCTTCGTAGCCCTGTTGTCCACTGCGTGTTCTTCCCCACTAGCCTGAGCTCCCAAAGCACCGAGCTCTCTGCTCCAGCCTGCCTGCTTCTCCCAAGGCACAAAGGGCCACTCACTACCTTCTTACCTGAACCCTGGCACTCCCTAGGGCTTGTACCATCACTGGCCTTGGCACACAGCTCTCTGAAGACAGAGCTCCTCTTCTTGGGCCAGTCACTTCTCTTAGCTGGGCTCAGCAGAGCCTAAAAGGATTTGTTGACTGCCAGTCTCTTGGGCAACTTTTGAGGAAAGACAGCTCAGTTCATGGCCCCTATCAGGGGCCTGCTTTCAGAGCCCCTGAAAAGGTGGCTGCTTTGGGGGGGGGGTTGGAAGAAGGGCGACAGAGAGTCTGCCAAACTCATGCTCTTTTTGAACACGTCTCGCCTAGCTTATCCTAATAGCCTCTTAACTAGCCTCCCTGCCTCTAGCCTCTCAACCCCTCTTGAGGCACAGGCTCCATCACCTCCCTTACTTAAAAGCCTGTAGTGGCTCCACATCAGCGCCTTAGCTTGGCATGGAAGGCCTTCCACTGTCAGGCTCATTTCAAATCGTTTGTGTCACAGCCAAACCCAATCAGCCTGCAATCAATCTTTTTCTTCTTCAGTCACAAAACTGACCATGCCTGGAATGGCCTCCACCCTCATCTCCACCTGGTGACAAAAAATCCTCATTTCTTCCCCTCTCTGGGCTTCCTCTTCTGTAAAACTCTTTCATAAAGGCCCAGCTCAGGGGTAACATCGTCCAAGAGGCCTTTCCAGGTCTCCCCAGCTGATATGGAAGGGTGCTCTCCTCTCCTCACATTTCCCTAGAGCAGGCCTGCCCACCTGCTTATGGCCTTCGGGATCCTTACAACCCACCAAAGGATTTGGAGCAGTCTGTGAAAAATATAGAGGATATAAAACAGCCCTGCACAACATACCATCCGAGGACCGCTTTGGAGGGCCGCCAGCACCCACGGGCTGTATGTTGTACAGGCCTGCCCTAGAGTACCTGATCCGGCTCTCCCCTTGACCTAAAAACCGCTCTCTATCCTGTGTTACATGTAGATTCACGGGGAGGACTGGGTATAGTTGCCCATATTTGTACTTCTGGGGGCCTTGCTTGGTAGGTGTTCAATAAAGTCTATTAACTTGATCAGAATTCAAGTGCTGATTGAACATGTGCCATTCAAAAAGCTACCACAATCTTTGTCCTCAGGAAAACATGGGCAACAGGAAAAGAAAACCTAAAGCAGCACAGGAGCAGAGGACCCTTTTCTACACTAACCCTCCGAGGTATATAGTATAGCGATTACTCCCCCATTTTAGAGAAGAGGAAATGGAAGCTCTCAGATGTTAAGTGACTTGCCCACAGTCTCGAGGGTATGAAGCAAACAAAGGTTTACGTTTACTCCCTGTGTGGCCTCAGTCTCTTCTTCTGTAAAATGGCTATAATACTACATGAATGAACTTACCTCACAGAGTAGTTTTGAGGAAAGCACAGGCAGACAACCAGCCAGCCTTTCTCTGGGGAGGACACCTCTCCTGGCACATGCCATGGTTGGCATCACCTATGCCAGCTTCCTCTTTCATTACCACAGCTTTCCTCCACTCCCTAGTGACCTCCGCTTGCCTCAGAGTAATTCCATAGAAGTCCCTCTCCCCTGTCTCTGGTGGTGTTGGGGAGTCCTTAGACCTGACCCATTTGGAAGCTGTGATAAGTCAGACGTTCTTACTGAAGGAAAATTCCCAATCCTTTCTTTCTTTGAGGCTTTTCAAGGGCCGACTGCTCTGTGGGGGCCATGTGCTGAAAGCGCTAGCTTTACCTTAGGGAAAGCCTCAAGAAATGACTGTGCCTTCAAGAAGATGCCATTGGTTGACCAGGAATTAGAAGTTTTCATTCACTTACCTCATTTTACCTGTAGCTGAATGTTTCACTTGCATGAAATCAAAAGTATTATTTTACATCCAAAATTTCAGACTTACCATGGATACAAACCACTGCTGCTTCCTCCTTGCCCTCTTCACTCACTGATTCATTCATTCATCAAGCATTTATTAAGCACCTACTGTGTGCTGGGCTCTGTGCTGGTTAACAGGGATAGAGAGACAAGAATGAAACAAACTCTGTCCTCAGGGACCTTCCATCCCACTGGCTGCCAGCTCCCCTAGGGCTTCTCCTAACATCGTCATCTGGGATCACACAGCTTGCCCCTTTCTATATCAGAGAGCAGCTGGCATTACCAGCACCACCTCCAGGTCTCCTCGGGCATATCCTTTTCTTCAGGTCTTTATTGAACACCTGACTGTCCCCTCCATCCAGAATGCTCTTCCTCCTCTCTGCCTGCTAGCTTCCCTGGCTCCCTTCAAGTCGCAGCTAAAAATCCCACCCACTACAGGAAGCCTTTTCCCATCCCCCTCCATTCTAGCATCTCCCCTCTGGTGCTTACTCCCAGTCTCTCCTGCCTATAGCTCATTTGTACAGAGTCGTTGACATATTGTGTCTCCTCTTAGGATCTGAGCTCCTGGAGAACAGGGGCTGTCTTTTGCCTTTCTTTGTATCCCCAGCACTTAACACGATGCCTGGCACATAGGAGGCGCCTAATAAATGCTTATTGGCTGACTGACTGCCTAGCTCTGTGGGGCAGACAAGAAGAGAAGATATTGCCCTGCCCAAAAGGGGCTTCCAGGCTACATGGGAAGACAAGAACCTCACCCCCACCCAAACAGTAAGGAGCAGCAGGTGATATCACAAGGCTGTGGGTAACATCTGCCAAAGGACTGAACCCTAACATTTCTTTTGCTATTATTAATTTAATATTTTATTTTCCCCCTGTTACATGTAAAAACAATTTTCTACATTCATTTTAAAAATTGAGTTCCAAATTCTCTCCTTCCCTCCCCACCCCCCCTCATTGAGAAGGCAAACAATTTGATATAGGTTATACATGTGCAACCATGCAAAACTTATTTCCGTATTAGTCATGTTGTAAAAGAAAACATAGACCAAAAAAAAAACCCGAGAAAAACAAAGAAAGTAAAAAAGTATGCATCAATCTGTATTCAGACACCATCAGTTCTTTCTCATGCATAGCATTTTTCATCATAAGTCCTTCAGAGTTGTCTTGGATTGTTGAATTGCAGAGAACAGCTAAGATATTCACAGCTCGTCATCCCATTAATGTGGGGTACTGCTGTTACTTTGTACACAGTACATTTAACTTTGCATCAGCTCATATAAGTCTTTCTAGGTTTCTCTGAGAGTATCCTGTTCATCATTTCCCATAGTACAATAGTATTCCATCCTTGATAATTTCTTGAAAGATGATGTCTAGGCTTTTTTTTTTATCATGATTTTCAAGAAGTCTAATAATTTTTAAATTATCTCTCCTGGATCTGTTTTCCAGGTCAGTTGTTTTTCCAATGAGATATTTCACATTGTCTTCTATTTTTCCACTCTTTTGGTTTTGTTTTATTGCTTCTTGATGTTTCATAGAGTCATCAGCTTCCACGTGCTCAATTATAATTTGTGAGGAATTATTTTCTTCAGTGAGGCTTTGTACCTCCTTCTCCATTTGACCAATTCTATTTTTTAATGAGTTCTTCTCTTCAGTGAATTTGTGTATATCTTTTTCCATTTGGCCAGTTCTGCTTTTCAAGGCATTCTTCCCCTCATTGGATTTTTGTACCTCTTTTACCATTTGGTCTGTTTTTTAAGGTGTTATTTTCTTCAGTATTTTTTTGGGTCTCCTTTACCAAGCTGTTGACTCTTTTTTCATGATTTTCTTGCATCACTCTCATTTTTCTTCCCAATTTTTCCTCTACCTCTCTTACTTGCTTTTCAAAATCCTTTTTGAGCTCTTCCATGGCCTGAGACCAATTCATATTTTTCTTGGAGCCTTTGGATGTTGGAATTTTTACTTTGCTGTCTTCTGAGTGTGTGTTTTGATCTTCCTTGTCACCATAGTAACTTTCTATGGTCAGAATTTTTTTCTGTTGTCTGCTCATTTTCCCAGTCTATTTCTTGACTTTTAACACTTTGCTAAAGTGAGGCTCTGCTTCCAGGGTGGAGGGTGTACTGTCCCAAGCTTCAGGGGGTTTGTACAGCTGTTTTCAGAGATACTTCTAGGGACCTGTGAATCTTCTGTTTTTCCAAGGTGGTATGATCTAAGGAGAGGTGTTTGTTACTCTCCTGGCCTGTGCTCTGGTCTGTGAATGACCACAAGCACTCTTTTCTGCCCTGGAACTGTGAGGAAGGTGTCTGCTCCACTGCAGCCATCCCAAGCTCTGATGTGCTAGTGCTCCTCCTAGCCCTATGACTGCCCCCCCCCCAAGATTGTGACCCGGATCTGAATATGGGCAAAGCAACAGAGTCCTGCCTCAGTGCCAGCAGAGAGACCCGTGTAATCTCCTTCTGATCAGTTGTTCCACCACCTTACCATCTCTGGTCTGAGAGCTCTGGAAGCAGCTGCTGCATCTGCTAATTCATTCACTCTCAAGACCTGCTCCTGGTTTGCTGCGACCTGGTTTGAGCTGGTGAGGCCTGCACTGGACTGTGCTCCACTCACCCTGGTGCAACAGACCTTTTCTGCCAAACTTTTAAATTGTCTTGGGCTGGAAAATTATTTCACCCTGTCCTTTTGTGGGTTCTGCTATTCCAGGATTTGTTTTAGGGCATTCTTTAAAGGTCTTTGGAGGGTTTTGGGGGAGAACTCAGGAGAGTCACCATCTTGGCTCTGCCCCTCAACCCTGACATTTCTTACAAACAGTTCCTGGGGGAAGGCAAGGGTCCAGTGACTCATCTGCATGGTTTCATCTGTCTACAGCTGCCTGTGGCACCAGCTCCACGGGGGCCTCTCCCCTCTTTCCAAGCCCCTCTTGGCTTCAGACCAGTCCAGAGGTCACACAAGGCAGAGAGCAGGGCCTCAGCTCAAGAACTCTTCTGCTTCCAGAGACACTGCCTCCCAATCCTTAGTTTGTCTGAAACTGGGTGGGAAGAAGAAGGAAATAATACAAGAAGCTGCTCGATAGCAGAGGAGGCTGAGATGATCTGGGTGGTGGCTCAAATTCCTGGTGGGAATGCTAGAGGCACATAGGACCTTGCCCATATCACCTGAATCCATGTTGGTTGGATGCAGTTCAGTTTAGTTCAGCACACTTTTATTAAGTGCCTACTATGTGCCAGAACTATGCTAGGCACTGTGGGCACAAAGATAAAAGCGCCTGCCCTCGAGGAGCTTGCATTCCACTGGAAGGAATGCTGGTGGACATTTACTGAGTAGTATGAAGTTTGCAAACTACTTTTGTCCAGATGTTATCTCATTGGAGCTGCTTTACAATCCTGTGAGGCAATACCCATCCTCCTGGTTTCTTTACTCGATGTAAGCCACTCTAACCCCTCAAGTTTGAAGTGAGAGCCCAAAGCCTATGCCCCTGGTTCCTCTCTTTCTGGGCCTGCTCCTTACTGGCTTTTCCCTTTTGGGTCCCAGGGTTCTTCTCCATCTCCACACCTTTCGTCAGTCTTACTCCACCCTGCCAGGCCAGGTCCTAAGCATGCTTATGCCCAAAGAGGCCCCTAGCCTGTCTTGGAGAAGTATGCCCTCCCCAAGAAGGCAGAGTCAGGGACTGGCTCCCTGGGGAACAGCTCCTCCTGACACAGTCTGAAGACACACTATCCCAAAAGGTCGGATAAAGAGAAAGGCAAAAATTAGGGCCTGTACGTGACTGCTCATCTCCACTGAAATGGAGGCTTATTCTAAAATGGCCTTATTACCTCCTCTCTGCCTCAGCCCTTTTGTCAGCCTTGGCATCCCTGGCCAGCCCCAGCCATTCTGAGCAACGACACTCTTGACAATTTGTAAGATGCTTCGTGAGCATCCTCACCCATGTGCCCTCATTTGCCCCTTCTGTATGTGTCATTCTACAATTTCAGGGGGTCGGTGTGTCCCTTTAAGACAGTTTCCCTTTTACCTCTTCATCAGAATTATTTCTCTTTGTGCCTTTCAAATTTTTTTCTTGGGAAAGCCAAGCCCCACCCAGGCTAAGTCCTCCTGGAGAATTTTCCACCTGGGGATCTACCTGATGAGCTGTTCCTTTCTCTTCTGAAGCCCTCAGTCTCTCTGAGCGTTGCTGGTGAAAAGTGGACCCATTTCCTGGAAGGTCTCCAGTTTCTTGCCCAGGACTCCAGAGTCTTTAGTGATGTTTTCTAACTCCCTCATTTTACAGATGAGGAAACCAAGGGAGGTTAAAGGACTTGTCCAAGGCCACACAGGAAAAGATTTGAAACCAGACCCTCTAACTCCACTGTACTTCATGCCCACATCAGGCATCTGGTTTGACAAGCCATGGGAAGGGTCCTGTCATGTCCTGAGTGGCAGACCTCCCTAGTGACAACAGCATGTCAGCCAATAGCGACTCCCTTCCCTCTCAGCTGGAGAATTATGATCATAGAATTTGGAGATTCTCTTGTTCAAATCCTTCATTTTATAGATGAGGAAACTGAGGCCCAGAGAGACATGACTGCCCAAGGTCACGCAACTAGGAGGGAGCAAAACTAGGATTCCAAGCCATGACAGCAACTCCAAAATTCTTTTTAGTACACCATGTTTTTGTTGGTGGTAGTATGTGTGTGCATGTGCATGTATTTGCATGTGTGTGTGTGTGTAGGTAGACTTAAATTGACAAGGACCCTCTGCTGAAAAGGACAGAAAAATGAAAAGGACCCTCCCCTTCCACATTCCACCAACTGGAGGCTTATTTTGGGTTAATGGTCCCTCCTTCAAGAAAGCTCATACCCTGGGTGCAGTCACTCTCCATCGGAGTGAGGAGTTACTTGCTTATGCTCTCTTCTGTCCAGCATCTGTCCTACAACATCTTGCTCATCGAACCCTAATTCTGAGGTGCTTCCCTCACTTGGTTTCCACCCTCCCTTCTCTCTTTTTCCATTCTAGGGAGAACACACTCTGTGCCTGTCCTGAGCCCAAAGGTTCAGAGAATGGCTCAGAGGAGGGTATCACTTATGCCTCAGAGAACATGGCAATGTCAGCCGATGAGGAGAAGTTGCTTCTGCTGCACAAGACTACAGAGCTCTGCAAGCTCAACAAAAAGGTAAGGACTCCCAAAGGCCTCCGTGGTACAAAGGGACAGAGGGGAAGAGAAGAGAAGAGGCCCAACGAAGGAGGAGAACTGTGCCAGTCTTTGGGATATGCCAGCAGGCATCAAATTTTTCTCTAGCTTAGGGATGCCAGCTGCAGAAGCAGAGGCTCCCTGAGGGGGAGGGGCCCTCCTAGGCCTCTAGTCCAGTTGTCTAGGGAGCCCCCTTCTATTATTGATCTAAAGGAATGCTCTCCAATACTTCAGCACTCTACTGGTATTTTCCAGTTTGTTATGCTCTTTATAATGGACTTACACTGCCTACCATTTGTGTGTGTGTGTGTGTGTGTGTGTGTTGGCACTACATTTGCATGGGGTGGGGAGAAGTTTGCATCACAATCATTTTACAGTAAATACTCCAGAATACTCTTCTTTATTTAAAAAAAAAGTTTTAAAAAAACCGTCTTTCAAAAGATGGACCTATTGCATAAAAAGCAGTATGAACAAATGGCAGTGAAAGTGGCTTTACTCATTATATAAGAGGTGCCATGTAATTTCTCAATGAGAATCTTGGAAATGTGCATGTAGGCAAAGTTGGACTTCATCCATACATTTTAAAGATAGGGCTTCCAAAGAAATCATAAAAAATCGAAAAGGACCCACATGCACAAAAATATTTCTAGCAGCTCTTTCTGTGGTGGCCAAGAATTGGAAATTGAGGAGATGCCCATCCATTGGGGAATGGCTGAGCAAGTTGTGGTATATGAATGTAATGGAATGCTATTGTGCTATAAGAAATGATGAGCAGGCGGACTTCAGAAAAACCTGGAAAGACTTATATGAACTGATGCCGAGTGAAGTGAGCAGAACCAGGAGAACATTGTACATAGTAATAGTCACATTGTGCGATGACTGACTTTGATAGACTGAGCTCTTCTCAGCAACGCAATCATCTAAGACAATTCCAAAAGACTCATGATGGAAATTTCTGTTCGCATCCAGAGAAAGAACTATGGAGTCTGAATGCAGATGGTAGCGTACTATTTTCACTTTTTTTTGGTTTTTTCTTTCTTGTCGTTTTCCCCTTTTGTTCTGATTCTTCTTTCACACCATGACTAGTATGGAAATATGTTTAGTGTGATTGTACATGTAGAACCTATATCAGACTGCTTGCTGTCTTGGGGAGAAGGGAAAGGAGGGAGGGAGGGGGAAAAAATTTGGAACTCAAAATCTTATAAAAGTGAATGTTGAAAATTATCTTTACATGTAATTGGAAAAAAAATACTATTAAGTGGCAATACAAAAATAAATTAGCTAATTAATTAATTAAAACTAAAGACAGGGCTTCAACTGCTGCCTCCCCCCCCCCCAAAAAAGCCCTGTGACCCCAGTGTGAGCTCTGAGGGAAAAGAAAACAAAATCAAAGTTCAGTCTCAAGTCGAAAATGTTGAGGGCCTCCAAAGAAGGAAGAACTTTCCCCAGCCCACTCTTGGACATTGCTATGCCATTTCTCCTGATTGGGTGGTAGATACGGATTGAATGAAGCTCAAGGGAGGAGAGGTTACTGAGTAATGGTGATAGGGAGAGAACCTGGAAGCGGTGATGGGGAACAAGGAGGGGAATGAGTGAAAGTGCATCCAGTGCTAGAAAGGGAGGCCAGGGAGACGGCGTCATCAGGAGGGAGCCAAAAGATGGAAGGAGTGGGAAAGGAGAAGTTCATTGCCAATGGAGTAGGCACTCCAGAGAGCGCAGTGGAAGGGGTGGGTAGCCTCAGAGTGGGACCAGAGTGTGGGGGGGGGGGGGGCAGGGTAGAGTTGGGTTGAGAGGGATAGGAAGAAGGGAGTTATCAGTGGGGGATGGTTTGAATGACAACGAAGGGTTATGAATCACAGAGTTCCTATTACTAGGAGTATCTCCCGGGTAGCCCTCTGGGGGTCACAATGTGAACATGGACCATGGAGGGTCCTGTTGGATTCCATGGGCTGAGACTGAGCTGCGGATTGTCCTGTCCCAGAGGATCCCCCATCCCCAAAGTCACTTTGACCTTTCCCTTATAGCTTATGAAGCTGAATCAGGAGTGGGACCACATCTACCGCATAGCTACCTTGCAAATGCAGCAGAAGATGAGCACCCTACAGATGGAGGTGGTTGGCTTCAAGCAGCAGACGGAGCGCCTGATCATAAAGCTCGACCACGAGCAGGTAAGAACCCAAAGGGTGCCCTGGGTGGCGTGCTATGAGCCCCCTGTCTACAGCACGGTGGATCTCTTGCATGGCATCTCCCAAAGGCCGACGTTGGTATTACAGGGTCGGCAGGAATGTGGGCGAAGGGCTAGAGGACACAAAAAACACAGGAGACACTAAGCTTGCTTCTTGAGGGCACCGAGAGGGGCACTCCCAGGGGATCCTAGCCTGTTGGGTGTCTTTCTTCAGAACAAGAAGGAATACTATGAGCAAGGTCTTCTCCAGGAGCTTGAAAAGAACCTGCAACTCCGGGAATATGTGAGGTACCTTGAGAGCAGACTGCAGCAGAATAACGAGCAGCAGACCATGGTGGTGAGTGATTTACCCACTTGCCTGTCAATGAGCAAGGGGGACAGGTCAGGGAGAGAGCACAAAGGGCCCCTTGGAAAGAGCAGGGAGGTAGGCAGGGGCGGCCAACACAAGCAGCTCAGAGCTCAGTCTCTTCAAGGCTTCAAGGTTTGCAAAGCATTTTACCTGTGTTAGCTCATCTGATCCTCACGACAACCCTAGGAGGTAGGTGCTCTTATTACCCCCATTTTACAGATAAGGAAACTGAGGCCCCAAGAAGTTAAGTGATTTGCCTGGGGTCACACACAGCTAGTAAGCGTCCAAGGTGGGATTTGTCCCCATGTCTTCCTAACTCCACTCTGTAATTCTGCCTCTAATTGCAGAGTTGGATGTAGAGGTCAGACAAGTGTTTGTCAGAGATCTTCCAAAAAGGGTTTCTGCTCGTGTGGTGTTCAACTAGATGGCCCTTGAGGTGTCCCTTCCCATTCTGCGATTCAGTAGCTCTAAAGCCATCCCTGTCTTGATGATTCCTATTGGACAGAGGATGGGGGAGAATGGGAGGTGGTCAGCTCAGTAAGCACAGCACAGCACATTAGTTAGTATGTATCTTTCACCAAGAGCAAATGGGCCTCTCTTTTTTTTGGTGGCATGCATGAAGTCCCAGGGTAACAGGGGCAGGAATTGACCCCATGGTTACTACCCAGTCTTTAGTGACTGAGCTGAAATCCCTCTTGCTTTCTTAGAATTTCTGCGAAGGCTATGGTACTTCTCCAATCCTGCTGACCAGGAGGAACTTAAGGGATAGTGGCCAGTGCAGGCACGGGCTAGGCAGTGCCAAAGGACTGAAGACTATGTGCTGTAAGCACCCGCTGGACATCTCCCACTCGGAGAAAGAGATGACTGACCTCATCTATCAGCGGGAGGCCTTGAAATGCCAGGTACTGTGATCACTGAAGAAGGAAACTGGGCCCATTCAGGAGCCTGCCAGAGCCAGGGCATACCCTGGGAAATGCTTGACCGTCTCACACTTCACCTGGGGACTAACTTCACATGTTCCAACAGCAAGATTCTTTTTCTTCTCAATTGTGTTGTACCTAAGTTATTCATTCCTCCCTATCCTGTTTCTGTCATCCCAGGTGAAGCTCCCAAAGCAGGTGGCATCTAAAAAAAGACCACGGCCAGCTTCCCGAGCCGAGCCTCGTGCCCACTGAGCACATAGGGTGTGCTCCCTATACTTTTGTTTCCTCCGTAGTCTAAGAGATCTTAACCCAGGGTCCATGGACATGTTTGGTTTTCTAAATTGAATGTTTTGATCGCTGTGTTTCAATATAGCCGATTTCCTTTGCAGTCCCATGGATTTTATTTGATGTATTGAAATGCATGATTCGGAGATAGGGTCCAGAGGCTTCTTCCCCGGACTGCCCCGAGTGTCCATGACCCCCACAAGGCTAAGAGATTTAGGACTAGCCAGTCAGTTGGTGTAGACCACAAAGGCTATCACTCACTCAAGATCACACAGCTGGCATTCAAACCCAACTCCTCAGACTCCAAATCCATCATTCTTGGCATTGCGCCACATTGGCCAAGGACTGTCACATGGTGTACAATCCTCTGCATTCTAGAGAGTTGGGACTTTCTCTGAAAGGTAAAAGGGAGCCATGAAAAGTTTCTGAGCAAGGGAGTAATGAGCCCTGCCTGTTGCAAGTTACTCTGCCAGCTATTTTGTGGGCTATGGATATATTGGAAGGGGGAAGCCTATTGGGGGACATTGCACTAGTTCAGGTCCAAGTAAGCAGGACGCTTCCTAGAGTACTAGCATGTGGAGTGGAGGGCAGGGGCTGGATTTGAGAGCCACTGATTGGGTGGGGGAGAAGCGGAAACAGGAGATTCCAAGGTTTCAAGCCTGGGAGACGGGGAGCTGATACAGTCGATTCTGCTTCCAACACTTCTTGGCCTGCCATCTCCCATGCCCTACCCCAGGGCTTACCCACCCTTTCCAGGTGCTGTGGCAGGCCCTCCCACTGTTGCCCTTGGGGAATTTTCTCTCCAGCTGGCCTGGCTACTGGGCACTGGTTGGGCACATCAGCAATCAGGGGAATGGGCGTCCCTACTCTTAGGGCCTCCATTCCCAGCTTTTCATGTGACCGCTCTGGTGTTGTTTTCCAACAGACTGAAATGTATGAAGCTAATTCCCTGACAGAGCACAAAGTCCAGGAGCAAATGAAAGCAGAAAATGAAAACCTGCGCCAGAAGGAAGAGGAGATGAAACAGCAAATGGCACTTTTGCAAGAACAGGTTGGTTGGTTCCTGTAGCTGGTCCCAGGCCCCACATTGCAAAGATTCCCTGCTTCACTGCAGGCTAAGCCTTCTCCAAGAAACTGAGGCCCCAGAGTCTACGGGAAGTGCTCAAATAATTCCACCTATGAGCAGGGAGGGTCCCCTGCCCAAGACCATCTCAGTAGCCTGTGCGCTAAGCAGCCAGCACCCTAACCAAGAACAACACGAGCTAGCACCCAGACTGGGCATCACCACAAGGTGACTGGTTCACTGTGGGACTTGATCAAATCCCACCACCTCCCGTTCTTCAACTGTAAAAAGTCAATCAAGATATACATCCCCTTGTCCTCAGAGGGCTATCTTCAGGATCCAGTTAGATCAGGTGCCATAAGGCATTGGGTTCATGTACATGTTCCTACTGCCCTCCCCAGTTCCTAGCAATGGTGCCTCTTAAGAACCTTTTGTCAGACCAAGTCAAATTCAAGTGAGAGTGAAGGATGAAGGATAAGAATCCCTTTCTACAATTTGCAAATAGAAAAAGGTTTCTTCTCTATCTAGGCACTAAATGAGAAAAAAGAGAGAGAGCCAGAGAGAAAGAGAGAGAGAGCCAGAGAGAGAGAGAGAGAGAGAGAGAGAGAGAGAGAGAGAGAGAGAGAGAGAGAGACAGAGAGACAGAGAGACACAGAGAGAGAGAGAG